CACTTTGTATCCCCTGAAGCTCCCTCCCTCTTCCCCTCCAACTCACACCCTCCCTCCCCCTTCTCTACCCATGCCCCTTCCCCAGTCCACTGATAAAGGAGGTCTTCCTCCCCTTCCTTCTGATCCTAGTCTATCAGTACTCATCAGGAATGGCTGCACTGTCTTCCTCTGTGGCCTGGTAAGGCTGCTCCCCCTCAGGGGGAGGTGACCAAAGAGCAGGCCAATCATTTCATGTCAGAGACAGTCCCTGAGGAATGAGGTTTTTACCTGGCTTGCAAAGAAACTAGCCCACCTGTGACTTATGGGAGGTGGCTTCCACTAGCTTGGGTCTTTACTGAGTGGACTGTTGAATATTAATCTCAGCCAGATGTCACCCCTGGAGCATTGGAAAGGTGAGGACGAGCCTAGATGCGGGATTTGAGAGTTTACCCTTACCTGTATTTGGGGATCAAAATTGTAAACAGTTTACACTGGAGAAGAGATCTTGCCCTTCAAAAAGTGAAAGACTGAAAGTGAAGGCATATATCCTTCAGTAAAAGTGAAACCAGACAGCTCATTCCAGGCCACAGAGAAGAAAATACTCAGTGGTCTAAAAAAAAAATCTAGTAACACAACTTTTATAAGACAACTTAGTTTTTTTTTTTTTTGTCATTTGTTACAATGCATAATATACTGTCATATAATTTCTCCCTCCCTGCCTCTCTTTAGACAGTGTCTCTCTATGTAGCCCTGGCTATTCTGGAATTCACTCTATAGGATAGGCTGACCTCACAGTGATGCCCCTGTCTCTGCCTCCCAAGTGCTGGGATTTAAGGTGTGTATCATTACACCCGGCTCATAATTTCTTAATAGCTTAAATTTTTCTTTTGTTTTTTTTTGAGATTATAATATCATTATAATTATCACACATCATTTGTGTCATCCTAACTGCTTGTTATACAAAAACAGGTCAGAGATGTTGTTCTTTAAAAATCCCAGAAAAGCACATAGAAAGATGGATGAGACAGGCATAAAGGCTAAAAAGGACCTTTTATGCTCATGAATAGAAACTGTCAGGACTATGAAGGTGCTAGTCTTCCCCAGACTGATTTATAAGTCAAAGTCAAACTCCACTAAATACCAGTAGGCCCTTGATATCTTTTGCACAAGATATCAACATCATATAGAAACATAAAGGGCCTAGAAAACCTAAAACAGGGCTTGAGAAAGACAAATAATACTTGAGAAAATGTCAAGACGTGACTAGAGGATTAAAAAAACCAAGGAAGTTCCTTATGAGGTAAAGATAGGCAGTATGTTGATTGGAATAGGAGAAAAGGTGCAGACACAGATTCATATGTGTATGTTTAACTGACTTTCAGAGTAAGTTTAAAGAGGAGCTGGGGCGGGGGAAAGTGGCCTTCTGAATAAATGGTGCTGAGCATTTGTTGCTAATTAATGTATCATCATTGCCATGATCATCTTCATTGTGTTTGTGTCTGTGCGTGTGTATGTGTGTGGAGACGAGAGGTCAATGTTGGTCGTCACCTTTGACTGCTCTCCATCTTGATTTTTTGAGGAAAGGCCTTTCTCTGAACCTGGAGTTCACAGATTTGGTTGCATTATCTGACCAGCAAGCCCCAGGACTGAGAAACAGCTGTACATTGCTGTGCTCGGCACTGAATGTGTGTATATAAAGAAATAAGCCTCTCCTTTTAGGTCACATCCATCCACCCGTCCATCCACCCATCTATCATCCATCTGTCTATCATCTCTCTCAAAATAAATCACAAACCTAAATATGAACTAAAAACAGAAAACTGTTAACTAAAAAAGACTTTCAGATAGTGAGCCTCTAGAGACTAGAGATTCACCGCCCCCCTTTTTTTAAAATTTATTTCTTCTCAGAAGACCCACAGAGAAGGCTTCCAAGAATGCCAGAACTCAGTAAGGCCGTATTCTGGAACTCTGAATGTGCTGAGGAAAGGGGTGAGACTTGTGCCCTTGGGTTCGAGGGTCCTGATGTAGCCCTGCAGGGTTTGATGGCCTCATGCTGAATAGGCACCCTCCCATTGGATACTTCTTGGTGGCCCTTCCCCTTGGGATTGGCTCATAGCATTTCACAATGGCAAGAATGGGATGCTCAGTCTTCGGGCTTAGTTTCATGTCTCAGTTTGTGGTAGAGCCCACTCAAGGTGAAAACCAGCGATGCCTCACTTTCTGGCCACCCATGATGAAACCTCATGTGAACACTGCAAGCCATAGCGCTGAGGTTTATCAGTGAAAAGGTGGCCCAGCCTATGGTGAGATTTCCTCCAAAGGAAAAACAGGGACGGGCACTTAACTCATCGTAAGCAAGTAAAATATTTATTTTTAAAGCATGCACAGGAAGAACATGATACTCTTTTTGCAAGAGGGGCAGACTTTCTTCATTTCCTGTTCTCTGAATTATTAGCCAATGCTATGAGCCAATCCCAAGGGGAAGGGCCACCAAGTTCTTGGAAAAAATACTGCAGCTGAAGCCTGTTTTTTTCCCTCTTGTTCTCTCTACATGGAGTTGCGTATTTGCCAAGCCTTATCGACATCTTCGTTTAAAACCAAGGGAAGTGTTCTTGGGGAACTCAGGACTAGAGCTATATCTAGTTGAATGTTTGTGGAGAACTTGCTAGTTACCAAGAGAACAAGTTAACAAGAACTTGCTAGTTAACTCCACTCTCTGTAGGAGTATAGTTGTAGTTGGAGTGCATGTCAGGAAAAAAGAGTTGGAGATAAGGTAGAATCACTTTGGCCATGAAAGCACAGAAAACATAGCTTGAACATGTATGAACTCCAGACTCATATCTTCTTCACACAAATATAAACAACATTCATTTTTCATGGTAGATTTTAGTTTCTTTTATTGTGGTCTGTACGTTGTTTTGTTCTAGAGTGATGGCTCTATTTTTAATGATATCTTTTCTTTTTTTATGATATCTTTTCTTTTACAGTACTTTGGTATAATTCTGTTAGATAAGTAGCCTTTTAAATATTACGTGTGTGTGTGTGTGTGTATGTTTTTTATTTCAAGTACAAGAATGTCTGGTATTTTGTCCCAGCAATGGAAAACTAGGTTAAATATACAGCACTCATCTGCAAGCCATGAAGAGATGCTTTGGAACGAATCCTTCCGCATCTTCACATTAAGTCAAAACTTTGGGAAACAATTCTCTGTTGCTTAAGTCAATGATACTTTGTTACAATAGCCTGAATTGAACAAAGTAAAGCTCTGTTGTTGTTGTTGTTTTTATATAGTAAACTATAGTTATTTCTCACTTCTTCAATTTATTATTATTAACACATTTATAAGTATTTTAAATAACTCAAATAGCTTAATTTAATTAAAATCTTATTTGCATGGAGGAAGGAATTTATCTTGGCTCACAGTTTTAGAGGATTTAAGGCATGGTCATTGGGCTTGGTTGTTTTGGGTCTTTGGTAGCATAGAAGGTGTTGGCATGGGGCTCATGATGGACTCTGCTTACTTCACAATGGCTGGGAAGCAGACAGTGAGGAGGGAAAAAGATGGAGTCATAATAGTCCTTTAAGACCAAGTCCTCATAGATTGAATGTCTCCCACTAGGCCTCATTTTCTAGAAGTTCTCTCACTTCTCAACAATGCCACAAATGGGCAATGGAGTCTTTAGAACCTCTGGGAGACATTTAATATCCAAACCACACTGGCTTCTCTGTGTCCTCGTGATGATGAGGGGAAACCTTTGACCTCTTTTTTTTTTTTTTTTTTAAATAAGGGCATTGATACCAGTAAGGAGGTCCCAGTCTATGACTTCATCCAAAGCTTATTACCCCTCATAGGCTCCATATCTAAGTCCAACTGCACTGACAATTAAGACCCTGACACATGAAATTTAGGGTGACATGGTCTTCATTCCTTAGCATACTTCTTTTGTTAATTGTGAGTATTTTTCTTTCACATATATACTTGGACTGTGAGGATGCCTGTTGCCCAAATAGGTCAGAAAAAGACACTGGACTCCCTGAAACTGGAGTTACAGATGATTTTGAACCACCATATGGTTGCTGGGAATAAAATCAGATACTCTGGAAGACCAACATATGCTCTTAACAGCTGAGCTATATCTCCAGCTCCAATACCTCTTAAAAAACCACACACACACACACACACACACACGCACACTGCACACACATCCACATGCATGAAAGCACAGGTACTTCATTTATCCTTTGACAATTTTATACAAGTTTATAATGTATCTCAATCTATTTCCAACTTCCTCCTCTAGTCTCCCCTAACTTCACCTATTATACCCCACACTCACCCTCTCCCACTTTTGTACCCTGTTCTTTCTCATGTTTCTTATTCTTTGTTGAATGTGGGTTCTTTTTAAAGACTTTACTGAGGACAAAAAAGCACAGAGATCTGTATAAGATTTCTTTTTTTTTTTTTTTTTTTCATCATTAGTCCCCAGGAGCAGAAGGCCTCATGAATTAAAATTTTTAGAAGAAAAACTTTTCTTAAGCTACATTTAGATAGTGGTGATAAAAATCTAGCACCCAGAAGTACCCATGTCAGGAGTTCCTCACAACTAAATTTATTGGGGATACACTGAGTAGCTCACTGTATCGAGTAACATTTTAAAACTGTGTCAGAGACTGGAAAGATTGCAACATTTATGTCGGTGTAAACAGATCTTACCCAGCACTTATCAACAATTTGACCTACATTTCGCAACAACAACAAGAAGAGACGGTGAAAAGTAGAATCCAAGAAGGCCAGCTTTAAGACAGAAATATTTAAGAGTGGGGGTGTTGCTAGGTGCTTCCCATCTATTTACTGTCTTAAAAAAGCATACAGTACCAATTCGGGGTTTAACAAATTTATTTTCTGCCCACATTTAAAATGCCTGCATAAACCTGTGCCGGTGGCTTTCGTAAAGTGTTTACACAGCCCAGTTAAACAATGTGCAACGTCTGGGTTCACCTCAAAATAGCATGAATTTTCCTACAGGGGTATGAGCTCCCGAGCGGTGCTGCGCAGTCCCTTTCTGCTGTGTTGCCTTACTCCGGCTGGTTTCATTGGCTCAGTTGGAAGGTCAGTGGAAACTCAGCAAAGGGCTCCCGCTGCGTGGTGTTTATTGTCCCCACGTCTTTCTCTGCTAGGTAGGAGGCCTGCGTCATTAGGCCATCTGAAAACCTTTCGGGAGAACAAAGAGGACTTCCTTCTTTTCCTTCTAATAGTGGAGCTCTGGTAGGAACGTAGTAGAGGTTTGTTCCTAAGGTCAAAGCTTAAGTGGGCTGTGGGTCTCCCTGGCTGTAGATGCTAAGGAATTTGTGGGCCTATGGACTGTAGCTTAGGAGCTTGTGAAGAAAAGCCCAGATAGGAGGGTTAGGTAGTGCTTGTCCAACCTTCCCTCGGAAGAGGGAGGGATCGAAAGCGAGTCTGGCTCTAAGGAGGTCTGCTTATTTTTGTACCTAGATTTGTAACTTTCTCTCTGAGGGCTCAAAGTCTATCATGAAGTTCTTTAGTTAAAAATCCCAGCTCGTTCTCTGTCATAGGTGCAGAATTTTTCTGTTTCTCTTATTTCTGACCTTGCTTTGACATATGTAAGGACGGTGCTTTGATTTGTGATTTAGGAAACGGACCATGTGTCAAAAACAGTGTAGCCAATAGAACAGAATATTACAGGTGGGATGTTCAAGCAGCAAGCATTTCTTCCCTATGTTTCTTGAAGCTCGAAGTCTGGTATCAGGAAAGCATCATGGTGGGGAGCCTGGTGAAGCCATCTTTTTTTCTTTAAGGTGGCAGCCTTGTATCCTCATGCGGCAGAGAAGAGAGGGAGTGAAAGAACTCTAATTACATATTCTGTAGTAACTTCAGAAGCCAGGAAAGTATAAAGGGACCATTGCTGGAGAAATGGGATGGGAAGCAATAGAGAAGGAAGTAGCACATTACAAGGGATCTGATCTTGGAAATGGAAAAAAGGTTCGGCTCCAATTAGGAACAGGAGAGGGAGGTTTAAATACAGAATAAAGAGAAAGGATGGTAAAATACTGTAAGGATGCCTGAAAACTTTATAAGGAATCCTACCATCAATTATTAATTATTTACCTGAAGGAAGCCTACAATCCATATAAGTCTGTGTATAAGTATACATATATAGTTTAAATGTAAACGTTCTTCTTTAGCCTGGCAATGCCAATAGGCAAAGATGAGCCAAGAAAAACCTCAGCACCAGGCATAAGAAACCCTCTTTTGAGTTTTTGGTTTAGGGTTGTCCCTAAACCTACAAGCTGTTGCTATTGCCGTTGGATTCCCCAATTCCATGCAGAAGTGGAAAGTGTGACCATATTGCTGAACACATCTTACACATCTTCAGACTCCGGGTCCAGAGGACCCTGAGCTGGAACTGACATAAATGCCTCCTCCCTGAGGTCTAGCTGTCAAGGTACCAGAAAGCAGCATCCCGCTTTCAGAGGAGAGAAGCGGTCAAGAGCTCTACTCAGCTATGATGCCTACGGAGCGTAACAGTGACTGCTATGGCATGAGGACCCTGAGGGAGCAGTAGTGGAATGAATACCTTCGCAGCAAACAACACGTCTCTAACTGGACGTAAGAACCACTCAACATAAGGGAAATCAAGCCTGATGCCAGAAACCTAGACAATTACCCAGGTGAGTGAAGTCATGGATCTGGGAGGGGAATCTACAACCACCACTTTATTAAATCAGCATTATCTCTAACCACACTCTAAATACCTGTCCTTATACCCATAGATTAGCTAGTTCAAATCCCTGATCAAGGAAACATCTCTTTGTAACAGATGAAGACCTCTACAGAAAACCACGACCAGTCAAAATGCAGAGCTGTGGAGGTTGGTGCCAGTGGATACATCTACCAAACAATTTCTGTACATAAGGCTCAGGGAATATTGTGGAAGAGAGGACAGAAAGATTCTAAGAGCCAAAGGATCAGGGAGTTTGCTGTGAGACTGTGTTTTCTAGTAGTCTCAGAAGCCACACACATAAAATCTCACAAATATGATTACTTAAATATGAACTGAAAAAAGGACCACAATAGTACTCCCCAATTGGTTAATCAATACCAATATGTATAAGTAGCATTATACAGACATGGAAGATTATATTGAGGAATATCTCTCTACACATAGATATATTGATTTATATGCATATGTATATGTATGTCTGCATGGAACAACAATTTCTGAAAAAAGGGGGGCTATGAATTTGAAGGGATGGGAATTTGGGGAAGTTAGAGAAAGTAAAGGGAAGGGGGAAATAATGAAATTATAATTCAAAAAACTCAAAAAAAGGGAGGAATGAAAGGCTTCTATGTCTTTAAATGGGCACAACCCCCTCAAATAGTGCATCTAGCTAGATATCAAGTGTTTCATACATAAGTCTTGGGAGAAGTTTTCATAGTCAAACCCCAAGACGACCTATATTATCAATACATTAAACTTTATAATATTATTAAACAGTACTAGAATATTTGCTATTTACATTCATTGTCTGCTGGATAAAATACCATAACTAAAAACAATGTAAGAAAGTTTCTTTCTTTCTTTCTTTCTTTCTTTCTTTCTTTCTTTCTTTCTTTCTTTCTT